CAGCCCGTAATTCACCAGGCTGCCTCTCTGGCCTCTTTTTCTGAAGACAAGTGTGACACTTGTGTTTCCCGTCATTCAGGATCTCCCCAGTCTCCATAACCTTTCAAACATGGCAGAGGGTGACTTTGCAAGAGAATCAGACAGTTCTCTCTGCACCTACTGATGTAGCCCACCTTGTTGCCCTTTGTCCCTAGTAAGTCTTAACTAAAGCTGAGCTCTGGCTTTCCTGACACAGGAAGCCTGCCGCATTCCCTGGCCCAGACAATGCTCCTGAATTTATTTTGTAGCCTGTCCTTGTTTCCAACTCTTCTACACTGTTTTTTGCACTGAAGCTCTGTCACAAGTAACCTGTCTACCTAAGCCAGCCTACTTATCTTCCTGAGTGATCATCCCTGCATTTGGAGGATACTGTCCTTAAATACCAGCAAGCTTTCCTAAGTAACTTTAGCCTTCAGATCTGGCTCTCATGGGATTGCATGAGTAGCAAATTCAACTGTGTGCCACCCTTAGTTGTTCTATCCAGAAGTTACTTCTGACACCTTCTAGAGATCTTCACTCCTTCCATCCTGCCATGTTTCTCCTTTCAGCAGATGTCAGGGACATTAAAGCTCCTCTCTTCCAGACCTATTGGATCCTTCAGAATCGTTCACAGGACTTCTGACATCCTCGCCCTGTTACAGCCCTAAATCCCTTAAGATTCTTAGTTTCTAAACTCTAAGGACTAGCAGTCCCCTTTAGTTCTCAGAAAACTTCAATATGTTAAAACCAAAATCTGGAATTTCCATTTTATGCAAAATTTTGCTATGTTCTGTCCAGGGGAAGAAAAACCAACCTCCAGGTTTTTTAAACTCTCTAATTTTAATGCAAAATTAATTCTAGTTTTTAAATTACTCTATTTCATCTTATTCAGTAAGCTCAATGCATAATTCTTTGATTCTGTCTTTTCTAAAACAGCTGAATATAATGAATCCACAGCTACCTTCTCCCACCCCTTCAAAAATCCCTGAAACCCTGTCCCCCCAAACTCCAGGAAAGAAAAATAAAAGAATAAGAAATATTGTGGGCCTGTACAAACTTTATGAAGTTCCACAAGGCCAAGTGCAAGGTCCTGTACCTCGGTCAGGGCAATCCCAAGCACAGATACAGGCTGGGTGATGGGTGGCTCGAGAGCAGCCCTGCGGAGAAGGACTTGGGGTTGCTGGTGGATGAAAAACTGAGTATGAGCCAGCAATGTGCACTCACAGCCCAGAGAGCCAATTGCATCCTGGGCTGTCTCAAGAGAAGTGTGGCCAGCAGGTCGAGGGAGGTGATTCTGCCTCTCTACTCCGCTCTGGTGAGACCCCACCTGCAGTGCTGTGTTCAGCTCTGGGGCCCCCAACACAAGAAAGACATGGACCTGCTTGAGAGGGTCCAGAGGAGGGTCACAAAGATGATCAGGGGCTGGAGCACCTCCCCTGTGAGGACAGGCTGAGAGAGCTGGGGTTGTTCAGCCTGGAGAAGGCTCCAGGGAGACCTTACAGTGACCTTCCAGTACCTAAAGGGGACCTAAAGGAAAGGTGAGGAGGGATTCTTTATCGGGGAGTGCAGAGATAGGATGAGAGGTAATGGCTTTAAACTGGAAGGATATATTTAGATTAGATGTAAGGAAGAAGTTCTTTACTGTGAGGGTGGTGAGGCACTGGAACAGGTTGCCCAGAGAAGCTGTGGCTGCCCCCTCCCTGGGAGTGTTCAAGGCCAGGCTGGATGGGGCTTTGAGCAACCTGGTCTGGTGGAGGGTCTCCATGCCCATGGCAGAGGGTTGGAACTAGACGATCTTTAAGGTCCCTTCCAACCCAAACTGTTCTATGATTCTATATCTGATACCTGTAAATCAATGTGTGCAACTTGGGGATGCTCATGTGTTATCTGATTGGGGCAGTAGGAGAAAAGGAATATATTCTCTGTTTGAGTTGTTCCGTTTTAGTCTAGATTTTATGAAATGAAATTAAATGTAATTCTGTTCAATTTAGTCATGTTCATTTAATGCTGAAGGCCTCTCAAACAATGGAGTTTAGAAAAGTCTCTGTCTTTCATCATCCTTCCAAATTTCTACAAGGAGATTAAAATCTATTCATCTTGCAGCATATCTATGTCTGGTTCATGTTCTCCTTTATCAGCTTAGCTTGTTTGCTAGTATTTATCACACTGTCTGTTTGGGTTGAGACAGGACATGTGTGCATGAATTAATTGTATGCCAGAGCTTGTTGAAGCTCTGTTCATAATTTCATTATTATTTTAATCTGGATCTACAAATAGATCTACGCATGTGATTTTTGTATACTGCAAGTTATTATTTAATGAAATATTTAAGGATGCTTTACAGAAAAAAAAAATAATTATCCTATAAAAGGAACTTTGGCGTCTGAATAACAATTTGACCAACTTTTACTGGGCTTATGAAAGGGCTGTGCTATAGAATTAAGCCAAACAACCACTAAAGCACCAACATCCCTATGCACTATACTGCAAAACTGTTTTCCTAAAAAAACTATATACTACAATCATGCTATGTTTAAAGTTTTCTTTGAGCATAAACTCTCTTCAGAAATATACTGTAAAAATACCTTTTAAAATGTTTCTCTTTTTTTTTTTTTTTAAATGTTTATCAGCCTTAGAATACAACTTGTTTCTTGTATTATTTTACAGAGAAAAAGTTGTTAATATTTTATTAGCAGTTATTATTCTAATATTGTTAACGGGGATAATATTTCAATGTTAGTTTTTAAAAACTAGGACTGAATACTTTTGTAGCATTAGCTAAAAATACAATATCTATTATTGACATTAAACATAATAAGTAGTGTAATCTGTACACAATAGGCCTAGAACACATTAATAAATACAAACAGTGTTGTCACAGCTAACAGACTAATATTTGCCAAATAACTGATAACTGCATAGGATAATATTTATAATTACTTTTAAACTCTACCCAATAATGGGAATGTTTAATTGGCTATCAACTGATTTCCTAAATAGCAAATACTTGTCAAGCTTGGAACTCAAGAACCATAAAAATCTATTTCTAAGAATATATTCTTACCTCTCTTTTTCAAATAATAACCAAACACTTGAAGGCATAAATGCTTAATTCCATCAGGAAAAGGGTTTGATGATAGTGTTGGTAATTTCTGTGACTGTTACACTCATTCTTTACAAACAGTATTTCCTTAGACACAGGAAAGGACTGTGATGCCTCAATTACACTTCCAGACTTTGAACATGCAGTTAACACCTGTACACTTGCTTAAGACTTTTCTTAGAGGCTAGCAGCGCTTCTCTGGATGGTATTTCTGGTATCTTCAGAGTTACTTCTTGTCTTGACAGACATATTCTATTAAAACAATACCCAGCAAAAAAAGTTCTCCGTTCTTGATGACCTAACACATACTTTTGCTGAGGATTGTGACATAGATGTGTATTTTGCACAAACATTCTAACAGCTGATATTTAGCTGAAATATAGATATTTCCCTAAAACTATCCCAAATGAATGACGACATTAGTTAAGTCACTACTTAAACAGGTACAGAAAATTAGGAAAACCCTTATAACCAGGGCATTCATGGTCCACCCTGTGAAAGGATGTAAGCCTGCACTACTTGAGCTGTTATTCCACTGCTGTTGTTGCCAAGGCAGAAGGACACTGCCCCTCAGCAGATCAGGGCATTGGGTGCCTTCCTCACAGGTAACTAGTAAGACATAGGAGTTCCTAGAAGTGGAGTTTCTGATGTTATTTTTTTAGTCCTGATATTAGAGAAGAAACATCCAGTTTCACGCAAAGAAACCAAAATAACAGCAAGTAATTTTAACGACTCCTTAAAAACATAAACCTGAGCCACACAGGAAACATTTTTAATTGTTAATGTTCTCTGTGATTCACAATGTGCACTAAATGCACATCTTCCATGTGAACTGCATAAGAGAAAAATTATATGTGATCTAAGATGTTCTGCATTATAATCTGTATGACAGTAACAGTCCTGAAAAGAATTTATGTGGTGTAAGAAACTTGATGAGAATTCAAGCACTAGTAACTATATTAGTAAGTAGGACTTAAAATTAACCTACTTCATAGTAAGAGAAAATAGAGTATAGAAATGCTTCTATGAAGATGAAATGGCCTTCATTTAGTGACAGAAGCATAACAAGAATAGATAACGGGAATTTTAATATAACACTTTCTTCAGTAGCAGGGGCAGAGCTGTGGGAATTTACTATTAGGGTTTTTCTTGTAACAAATCTATTCAAATCATCTGTCTATCAGGACTGCATGTTAGGAACAAATTGGCTTAGCTTCAATATTCACTGATGCATTTTATTGCATTCTGACTAAAGCTACACCTTGCAGACTTCTGAAAGTTATTCTTTAATCTACTACATGCAAAATTACATTATAAATATTAAAATATATGACAGTGGAAAGTTATTAAATTTATTCCTGAACAATATAGCTGCTTAGCCTCAAACACAAAGTAGTAATAATTACCTCTGAGCTGTAATTAATTGGGCAAATAAATTTTTAAATTTTAGATGCTGATAAATAGGAGAAGGAAGCTAAGAAAAAACAGCAACTGTCAGCAATATTGTAACACCAAGAACTTCTGTATGAGACAAAATTACAGCAAACACATTTATAAAATATAAACTAAACAGAGACTATGAGACAACAGTATAATACATTCTCTTAGAATGGTTAGAATTCATCTCAATATAAGGTATGAACAACCTCAGTATTTTAAAGATTATTACCAATACAGAAATTATAGATCAGGAAGTATGTTCAAAGATAAATATTTCTTACATACTTTCAATCAAAGTACAAGGTACAGTTGAGAAGGAAGAAAAAAGAACCATCTATTACATACAGAGAAGCTGATGTACATACAAATTACGTGAAGTGGTGAGGCAGGGAAGAGGAGAGAATACCAAAACCCCAGAAAAATTAAAGAGGACACTTACTGGGGAAAACCACATCACTTTAAGGATCCAAATTGTCAAAGAAAAATTCACAACTAGGATGATAAGCAGGAGAAGAACAAACAGGTAGAGGCAACGCTTTCTCCAGCCATATATTCCAATTTTGTACACATATTCATTCTTCGGCCTCTCTAGGCTAGTGCCTGGTGTTGTTGTAGTGTATTGTTCACGTACCATCTGCTATGTAAAGAAAAAAAAGGGACTGCTTAGTTTTTTGAGTTAAATTAAAAATATTTATACAACAATCTCAAGGAAAATATGAAGATATAATTGTAACAGCAAGTTACTAGAAACTAGAAACTCTTATGAAGTTTTTATCTGGAACATTTTCATCATGTCCCATTCAAATTACACTTGCATCTTACTTTTTGGTACAAAAGATGTGACATTTTAATATATAAACTGCATCAATTGCCATTTTCAGGAGGCTTAAATTTATTTTATCCTATACAGAATGGCAACACTTCCCTCCCGTTTTTCATAATATTCTAATTCTCCCATCACAAATATTTCACAGGATCACATGATAAAACTGTGGCTCACAGAACAATATCTTTTTACTGTAAAAATAGTTTCAAGTCGGAATGGTACCTTCTAAGTACAGGTTTAAGAACATTTCTACATATTCTTTCCTCAATTCAGTAATAAAATACATTCTTTGTGTTGCAAAACTTAACTGTATATCACTGGAATGCCAAAATACGTTAAGCTTCAGAGTATGTCTATAAAGAGATGAAACGGTTCTTAATAATGTAAAGGAAATAATGATTTATCAATTTATCAGATATTCATATTTAAAGATACATCAGCAATGAAAACATTACTTACTGGGTTTAAACTACTTCCTTCACATGAAATTATAGTTCTTAAAGAAGCATTCTTTGAATTTAAACAAAGCTTAACCAGATTGTACTTCCTTAAAACATAAGGATATTCAGTAGCTTCCACAGAGGTTACCAACAATTCAAACTCTTTATTAAAGCTTACAATTTCAGTCAAGAGAATAAAACCTCAGCAGCTGATGCCGCTTACCTAAAACAATGGTGGGCAACATCTGTCTCATTTACATTGATACAAAACAAAAATACCCCACCCCAACCATGGATGTCAAGAAGTTCAAGCACTTCCCATGAGCCAGGTATATCCACAGGCATCTTGCATCCAAAAACTGGTCAACTTTCCTACACTGTAATGATCCCAAGTAGGAGTGCTTTCAGACAGGTTTCACACAAGGTCTCCTCTCAATTCTGAATTTACTCATGGGAATGAGATCACTGTGCTCTGCTCACACAACTTTCAAAATGTAATTAAATTACAGCCTTGCCCAGCTGCTAACTACTCTAAGTCGTTAAGGGTCTTTTCAAGTCTCCTGCAGAGGCATCCTGTGTCTGTAACAAGGTTGTTGCTCTCAGTTCTAACCCTTAGCTTTAGAAAGATGTCATCTTTTGTTCCTGCAGCTTCCTATTGAACTACAACGCAGAGAATGCAATGTAAGTGTACAACTGAACAGTTCATGCATCAGGTCTTTGCATATACACAGTACTCATTTATTCACTTCCATTCAAAAATCTTTTAATTTGTCGTTTATTTGTATTAAAAATGAGACTTGATCATTGGCAGTTCATAATGTAAGTGTGCTATAGCCATTAAGGCACAATATTCTAATTAATTTTTTGCTGCAATATTGTGTATATAACTCTTTTCATCTGCTGAAAATACTGAAAATAGTATAATGATTTATTAGTGGAGAATCACAGATTCTGAAATAACTTGGCTTTACATTACTGCAAAACACTGTAGATCTACAAGATGTTACTTAATATTCACCATATGAACTACGTTTGTTTAAAACTATCAGATTATATTTTTCAGTTCTGTGTATTACTCAAGCACCTAGTACTGATTATAGGATACTGTTTAAATACAAGTTGCTACTACTTTTTTGCTGTTTTCCCGATAATCACTGTATAACAAACCGTATCACTCACACAGAAGTTGCCCTTTACCTTAAACCTGCTTTACCATGCTCCGCCAAGTAAGACCAATTGGGACATTTATGCACACAAGGAGTTTCATAAAATGCTTAGGAAAACCTTTACCCTTACTTCCACACAGATTTCTCCTGAACGCTGTAAGTTACAGGATAGGATGCAGTTATCTGGTGACACCAAGAGATATTATTTGAGAAATAAACCATGCAGTACTTGCTCAGGTATAGTACAACTATCTAATACCGTAACATAGAGCATCCTCTGAGTTTCTTACTGTTTCCTTCACTACACGTACTTATTAAGTGTCAGTATAACAAGAAACAAAATAGATGTCAGCTACAGAAATGTCCCCAGTAACAGAAGCTCCCTTCACAAGATGCACTGCTTTACCTTTTTCCTTTTTTTTTTTTTTTTTTAAGGAGATAAATAAAATCCACTTCTAAGAGCACTTAAAAGGTTATTTCAATAGGGCCACGGGAAAACGGACCATTCTTTGGAAACTGCACAGCCTCATGAATTTAGCTGAGCAAACAAATCAACAAATCTCTAGCTGTGGCAGCTAAGCTTTGCCTGTTCCTTGTGTTGCTGTTCGCTACATCTTCAAGGTAAATTTCGCAGTAGAAACAACATTTGATAGAGTAAATTAGTTCTCAGATCTTCATATTTTTATGTCAGCCTCATCACAGTGGTATCTGAGGTTGCGATTCATCTCGCAACGTTAGATACCAACAATTTAGCCTTCAATATCTAAGCTAGTCGGCCTGGACTCCCTTTATGGTCAATGGAGATAAACCTACCCCTGCTGGGAATTATTACAGACGTATATTTTAGACATCCAATGAGCTGCACCTTAGATGTGTTCAACCTCTCTTCATAAAAAGAGAAATTAAGACAGTCTAGGGATGACTTTTTCATATGTACATACCTACATGTTTTAGACATAAATATTTGGTCAAATAAATTCCAACTCGAATGATTTCCAGAAATATGTAATTTAACAAGAAGACAGGATTCTTTTGATTCCTGTTCTTCTCTGTTCCATTTTTACCCTGTTGTAAAATGTTTATTGTGTGAATTGAGGGTTTTATACATAATGTACTATGTACTGCTGTTTAATGAGGTGAGGTCAAAATCCATTACGCATTTCACCAAAAGGCCTGTGTTTTGTAATTGTTTTCAGCCCTTCAGAAATTCCACAGAGGACATCTCCCAGCACAGCATTGTTCCCTGCAGAAATTATTTTCTCCTGACAGAATACAGTTCTGTTGTTCCTGAGCATTATTAATACTGCCCCAAATTGCTTTGGTCCTAGCAAATGGGTAATGCTGGCCTAGACAACAGACTGATTAGAAAAGGATTAAATTTTTCTACTTATTATAATATTTAATTATTTTTAAGAGAATTAGTGGCTCGGTACCAAGTAATTACATGGGAAATCCTTTAAGAATTTATACTGTTGGAATGTTTCTTCTGGAAGAATCAACTTTCCGTATTACTAACTTACACATTCACGAGATGAAATCACATAGGAGAATAATCTGTCTGGAGAAGTCAGAGAGATATTCTTTTACAGGTTTGGGCTGTTTTAGGAAGCTGGGCTGAAAGGAAAGCTTTAGACAGGGAGATCTCATAGTTGGCTGGTGAAGTCTGCCTGGATTCAAGAGAAGGAAAACAACAGGTATTTTAGTACTATGATGAAAACCGTGATTTGGATGGAATAACCATGCAACCGTAAGTTGGTTGTGTAGGAGCATATTAAACAGACACCAAGAAGGAAGTGGTTACTTAGACACCTGGGTGTACACAAGTTAGCTGGAGAAGCAATAAGTCTGCACAACAAACAACGACTTCAGTAACTGTTATCTTTATATTCTTTTACAAGCAGGCAGTACACAGTGACGAAATAACAGAGTAAAAACAGTTCTGGCAAACTATAGTGCAGCTAAAATGGCAATTTTAGAATGAAAACAATGAAAATTCTGACACATTTAAATGTGCAATGTCTTATTTGGATTATGTCAGCAGTACCTTAATAAAAAAATCTACTTAATTGGAATTTCTTGGTGTTCCTAGTCAAGGGCCCACACAATGAGAAGTCAAATAAGCTTAAGGTCAACTACTCACATATTCCTCACAGATTTTTGTATATGTGGCCATAATTTATGGGAATGAGCTCTACCATGGTAGTTTGCTATTTGAAAGTATTTTCCAATTGCCATAATCTGTTTTACTGGGATACATTTTTAACCAATTACTACTTGCCCATTTGCGGATTTAAAACAGATACCGAACGCTAATTAGCTGCCAAAAGATTAGTTATAGGTTTTAAAGGATAGATATAACTTGTGAATTACTTGTACACTGCAGATATTTTGACCATGTGAGATTTTCTCATGTGTTCAGGTGTTACTTGTGTTGCATGTAAGGCATGAAATTCTTGCCTACAGGAACACCATGAGCTGCTGATGAAACAGCTGGATGTTCATTACACTGTGTTACTAAAACCCTCTAAAAATATGTAGCCATAACAGAACGTTTCCTTGGATCTATTCCACCTTTTTCCATGCAAGACTTGGAGATTGGCCTCTGTGATTTGCATGATTCAGAGGTTCAGGAGATTTTTATATTAATATCTAGATATTGAAAAACTGTCTATCAATAATGTTACTGTAGGATTTAAGTCAGTTTCAGCATCAAGTTCAAAAAGCTGTTCTGATAACTTTGGAATATTTAATTAACACAGCTGTGTTTTGAAGAAGGAATTTGCAAACTTATCAGTAATCCTACTTGGGAAAGCAAGCCTGAGTAGAAGCTTGTTAATTGCATTATTTTCAGGAATCATTTCTCTGTAGGAATTACTGAAGACAGAACAGAATAGTATTTCAACTAAAATAAGCAATCTCAGTTTATTTCAGTTGTAAAAATAAGTTTTCACTGTTTTTTTTAAATAAATGGCTGTTATTTTCTTGAACATAAATAAAATTCTCCTTAACGCACAGTTCAGAGCTGTATTACTTGAGTTCTTTGCCAAGTTCTCATAAAGCAACTCATAATACTAAACTATTGGAAAGCATAACTTACATATAAAACTACTTAGTTGGTTAATACTAATAACCAACTATAATCCATTAATAATTATATAATTTTAGCATTTTACAGTTTTGGACTATTTCCAATTATGTTGTGATTTTCAGCAAAGAGACAAAAAGCTTAGCACTCAAGAAAACCTTTTCGAATTCGAGTTAAGAAGAACTGGTGAGGTTTCATGAAGAAATCTGCACCACTGATGCTTATACTATACACGTTCTTTTGAAAGCAAATTTCAGTCATCAGTGCTTCTACTCTTCTCTCTTTACAAGATGTATATCCATTCACATGCAAGAAAGTTCACAGTATCTGTAGGGATGAAAGAGGTGATAGTGCTAAACAGAAACAGTTCAGTAGAAAGACCATTTTAATCATTTGAACTAAATGATTGTGCCATTGTAAACGAACTGTAAACTGAAGTAAAACAACCTGTCACCTCAGGCAAATGAGAACTACTTTTACAATCTGCATATAGGATCTTCACGGAACATTAATGTTCTTATACAATGCATTGAGCTAGACTGGTACTATTATATAGTATGAACATCAGAAGTACATGAAGTCTTCACAGTTTGGCGGCTTTCAGGCATGCACGCTTTGGTCTCTTAGGAGGACAGAAGCAGCCCACTGATTAACCAACAGGAAACCGGTGCAGCTGGAGTGTTTTCTGCCAGAGGAAAACCAGTTGAGGCAAACCAGTTTTTCAAAGAAAAAAATAGAAGAGAAAATTTTGGAATCTATATGGAAAAGCGTTCAAGACAAAACTGGAAAGGCAGGGAAAACTCAGACTCTCATGACTATATGAAAATTTTCTAATTCCTTTCAGCCCTCCCTCATCCCAACATATTGTATTTAATCTTGCCCAACCTTGTTTTGCTGAGATTTGTGTATTATATAGTATATTACAGTTTGAATTGTAAACTAGTGTCTTCAGCTAAAAAGAGCTGGAGCCCTGCAGCGTAATTTGTGGAAACCGGCAAAGAAATTCATATGGCCTAGTTAACTGCTTTCATTCCCCACAATGCAAATTTACTTAATAACTACAACATGGTCACAACAGCGTTGCACATTTTAAGTACCACTCCAACAGCTGTCACTAACAGCATAGGATGAAGTGCTATATTAAAAATGATTATTTGTCTAGTATCTGTGTACTTTTGAATCTCATTTACAGTAAAAATGTTTTTAAAACTTTGTTTTCAATCTTTAAAGTTGGTTTATTTTTCCTCCTTTAACAAACTTCCAAAACATTAATTGGATCAGAAAAAAGCCATTTTCATGATACTTCCTGCAGAATCAAAAGGCCAAGCTAAAATCCTAGACAGATTTTTTTGTAAATTATTTTTAATTTTTACTAACATTTTAAGAAGTAGCTAGTTTCTGGTATAAGAAATCCCATGTCTTTCATGTAAAATACCTTAAAATGCTTTAATTAAAAAAAAAAAAAGCGAACCTTTTCTCACTGATATTGTCACCATTACAGCTAAGTTTCCTTGAGCAACCTTGGGTGCTGTAATGTAGAAAAAACCTTAAAATGTAGCAATTATTTACTTTCCTGAGATTACCAACATACATGTTACTCTGTCTTTTTAGACAACAAAAATCTTTTCAAGAACACAAAGAACTTTGAATAACTGATGTAGAATGAAGATGATGTGGGTGAGATATACCCACTGGACGATGATGTGGCTGAGATACCCACATCTAGATGACTGTCTCATCCACAAGGCTACTGGCTAGACCTCATGAAGCTCTCATTACTATTACAGATTTTAGAAATAAGTCTTTCAGAGGAGAGAAAGAGCAGTCTATACAGACATTGTTTTCACCTAACAATGAAAGACTGAGATCCAATAAAGGTTGTCAAGATCACTTAAGTGTTTACACAAAGGACTGCAGGTCCACCAGGAGAACGGAAGATACATAAAGTATTGCAGTCAATATCAGAACAGAAATTATTGCAGGCTCTTCTGGTTGTGAGGTTTCTCTCTCTCTCTCTTCCCAGGACTTAAAAATAATTTACATGTGAAGCAGAAGCCAGAATAGATTCATTCCACTATATCCCTGCTTTTCTTTAATCATGCATTCTGAGGGTGGCAGAGCACTGGAACAGGCTGCCCAGGGAGGTTGTGGAGTCTCCTATTCTGTGGATATTCAAAACCCACCTGGATGTGATCCTGTGCAAGGTGGCCTAGGTGAGCCTGCTTCAGCAAGAGGGTTTGACTATATGATCTCCCAAAGTACCTTCCAACCCCTACCACTCAGTGATTCTGTGATTTACCAAAATGTTTATAATTAAGCTAGGTACAAACTACCCGACTCAAATTATGAGGCATTTAAATTTGTAGTTAAGGCTTTCAACTAAAACGAACAGATTAAGTAGAAGCAGATTGCTTAATCTGCTTTTTTGTCCTCTGAGAGAAGACAGGAGTTTGTTATAGAACGATGGTATATCGGTGTTACTGCGTTCAGTTGTTCATGAGATGATGAGAGGTAGTTTTTGATTTATTGTGTAACAGTTTTCCCAGAACAGAATCATAGAATCACAAAACGTTAAAGTTGGAAGGGACCTCTGGAGATCTGGAGACCATGTGGTCCTATTTCCTGCTCAAAGTAGGGTTAACTTGACATCAGAATTGGTTACTTGTTGGGAAAAAAGGTGCAATCACACATTATCAGAAATCAATTTTCTTCAATAGCCTTAATGTCTCTGAATTGTCGTGCTAAACTTTGATTGCCTGGAGTTTCTGTGGCAGCCTTACAATGCAATTTGAAAAAATAGATTATTTTTTTTTCAAGTTCTTAACTACTGCTTGGACTCCTCTACTGTGTTGTTACATTTAACCTATTGGAGTTTTGATCCTTTTTGCCCCATTTGATACAACTAAGATTTTTTATTAATATCTTCCTGCTTCTAACAACTTGTCCTGCCCTGCTTTTTAGCTATACTGTTTTAACCATTGTGGTGGTTTGGCCCTGGCCAGATGCCCACCAAAACCACTCTATCAATCTCACCCCCTCAGCTGGACAGGGGAGAGAGAATATAACAACAGGTACGTGGGTCAGATAGAGACAGTTTAATGAAGCAAAAGCTGCATGCGGAAGCAAGAACAAAACAAAAGATCTTATTCTCTTCTTCCCATCAGCAGGCGATGTCCAGCCACTTTCTGGGAAGCAGGGCTCCGGTACGCGTAGCGGTTGCTCCGGACGACAAACGTGAAATGAATGTCCCCCCCCTTCTTCTTGTTTTCCCCAGCTTATATTGCTGGCAGACATCATGTGGTATGGAATATCCCTTTGGACAGTTTGGGTCAGCTGTCCTGGTTATATCCCCGTCCAAGTTTTACCCACCCCCAGCCTACTGGGGAAATGTTGGGGAAGCAGCCTTGGTGCTGTGTGAGCCCACCTCAGCAGTAGTCAAAACACTGGTGTGTTATCTAGCTACCACTGCACAGCACCGTGAGGGCTGCATCTCAGGCAGACCCATTACAGCCACGTCTTTTAAATATGTATTTACCCTGAGCATCTGATATTTCAAAATAGTCCCATGCAAAAATTTGTTTCCTTTTCAAAGGCCGCCTCCTTTTCACATAGTGCCCTTTTTTAAGTCAAGAACAATGACTAAGATTCTTCAGCTCTTGTGACTCCATTGAAGACACTTTTAACACCAACATGGCCAATATTGTAATACAATCCTTGACAACAACATGAAAGAGACCTTGTGCACTGCTCAGAACTAAGTCGGGAAATGACACTGTTTCCTGAGAAACTGCTCCCAAAACCTGTCATTTATGGGATCTAATAATGTGGTCTGAATGTTGGACCTACAAAGGTAAAAGAAAAAAACCAGTTTCCTCTCATAGTGTTTCTGATCCACTACAGCAAGTCACAGTCATTGTAATCACCCTGGTGAGGTCACTGGCAATATAGTTTTAATATCAATCATATTTATACCATTAATAATATTATTATTTTGTTTAGATTGCACATTTCAGTCCACAAGCATGTTGATATAATTGCTGAGTTGATACAACTGCTTTATCAATCTGTCTTACAGTAAGCTTCTGTTAACACATGGCACCACTTGCATGTCTTATTCTGTCTTTCCCATATGTTTTTAACTTGGTGTTACTCACTGACTGTTTTCCTCCTGTTATCTTTTCAATACGGCTATTCAAGTTCATTTAGTTTCATAGCTTACTTAAAGCTAAGCATTTTTGTTTTCCTATCTTATTTTGAGGCTATATGTATAACTTTGTTTCAGCTTTCCCTCAAAACTTAAAGTTTAAAATGCTCTAATCTTTTTGAAGTGTCAGGTGCCCAGTTCCATGTTAAAGTGAAGATGTCATTCCTATTATTGGACACCTCTTGTTCAAAAACATTCCCAGCTCCTAATGAATTTGAGCCCCTTTCCTAACTCATCTTTCCACATGGTTTTGCATGTGGTAGTAAAAATATTTCAAAGATTGCTACCATGGACTTCCTGGTCTTCAGTTACCCATATATCTCAGGTTAAACTTTGATTCAGAACCTCTTCACTAGTTTTCTAGACTCTCAGTAGCTTTAGTGGTTCCCTCAATTTCAAGGTTGCAGACTTGCACCCTCTCCCAGATCTAGCTGACTGAATGAGCAATTTTCCGTAAAATGCTGCTGCCTTCCTTTACCTATCAGCCAAATAAACAAAGTTTCCTAAATACCAATACTAGGTATAAATTATCACTAATGTTACTGAACTTAAATCCAAGTTACTTGCTGAACAGCAGGTGCAACTACTTCTGATACAGCTTCCCCTGCCTTGCATACTGTGCTGGTTTCGTGTCTGGAGGAGTTTTGTCAGCAGGGGAGAGGGCGACAGAGGTGGCTCCTGTAAGAGGCTTTGAGAAGCTCCCCTGGCTCCAATTTTGGACCCGTCTCTGTCCAAGGCCAGGCCAATGGCGCCTCTGTGAATAACTCTATTTAGGAGTGAAAGAACCTGTTGATTGAGTTCTTTGTCTATCTGTCTGTGTTGGTGAGCGGGAGAGAGAAGAGAGATGGGAGAGAGACAACCCCACGGACACCCCGGTCAGTGAGGCAGGAGAGG